TCCTGGCCTTACTACTAGGAGCAAGGACGCTACTAGGGGCTCCTGGCCTTACTACTAGGAGCAAGGACGCTACTAGGGCTCCTGGCCTTACTACTAGGAGCAAGGACGCTACTAGGGGCTCCTGGCATCGCTACTAGGAGCAAGGACGCTACTAGGGCTCCTGGCCTTACTACTGGGAGCAAGGACGCTACTAGGGGCTCCTGGCCTTACTACTAGGAGCAAGGACGCTACTAGGGCTCCTGGCCTTACTACTAGGAGCAAGGACGCTACTAGGGGCTCCTGGCATCGCTACTAGGAGCAAGGACGCTACTAGGGCTCCTGGCCTTACTACTGGGAGCAAGGACGCTACTAGGGGCTCCTGGCCTTCCTACTAGTAGCTAGAAGCTACTAGGGGCTCCTGGCACATCAACACTTGGTGAAGGAGACGCTATTCTTGATTCTCTTTCGAGGCGTGTTCATGGCCTTCCTCGGGGGGTGGGGAAAAAAGTCAAAGCTCGAGGCTCTAAGCGTTGCTGGTATCATTCTTCTGGAAGGCACAACTGTCTTGAAAGTACGGGGTCAGGCTCAGTCTTGCATTCTTGCTACAACAAATAAGGGATTCTAGACTGGCTAGCCCTGGCTGGCTGCTGAGTTTCACGATTCCGCGCCCCCCAAGGTTCGATTTCTGCCAAAGCCCAAAACAAAATGCCAAGGTGACCCGTGTGAATCTCAACTGAAATCTGTCCTCATCAATGGCCACGTGTGGGTCCGCCTAGTTGGCGCAAACAAAATTGTGGTGGGATACAAGAACTGGCAACGGCGAAACGATTTGCACGGAATATGTTTGTTGAACCACCTTGACGCCTGAATCATCAAGCACATCAAAGCACCCTATTTCTGCCAAAAGGATCCAAAAGGGTTTTAAGTTGCAAAAAAACAGCAAGGTTTCGAAGCTCCTTCGGCTGCCGTGCATGGGGTGACTGTCGTGACCGACTTCGACTCTTCAAACTCTGCATAAAGCACCTAAGGAGAACTCAATGTGATGGCCTCCAACCTGCCTCCACCCTAGTAGCGATGGCACCATACCTATACAAAAAGCCTCCCTGGCACCAGTTCTGACGTCGCGATGTAATTTGGCTGAGTCAAAGGCTCATAGGTTGAGATTGGGGCCCTGCCAGGCATGTTCAAAGTTGGTCCATTTGGCAAGAAAGTGTTTCCTCTTTGAATTCACAAAAAATACAATGTCTTCCCATCTTCCCGATCATAATGTTGATCATGCTGTTGCGATGCGGGCCATCTTGGTGCTCCTTCCGAACTTCCGAACGATGTTTCTCTGGTTTTCTGATGTCGCCTCCGGTGGAGCACTTCCGCCAGAGCATCCGCTGCCTTGTTCGCCAGTGGTGCGGAGTGGCATGGAAGCACGGACGAAAGCACCGAATCGGCCGAAAGTGTCCCTTTCGGATTCAAATATCAAAGGACGCTACTAGTAGCGTCCTTGCTCCTAGTAGCGATGCCCTTTGCTCCTAGTAGCTTCTTGCTCCTAGTAGTAAGGCCAGGAGCCCCTAGTAGCGTCCTTGCTCCTAGTAGCGATGCCCTTTGCTCCTAGTAGCTTCTTGCTCCTAGTAGTAAGGCCAGGAGCCCCTAGCGTCCTTGCTCCTAGTAGCGATGCCCTTTGTTCCTGGTAGCTTCTTTGCTCCTAGTAGTACGGCCAGGAGCGCCTATATAGTAGCTTCTTGAACCGGAAAAAAATACAAAAAAACTTCTGTCTTTTTTTGAAGTATCAAGACGGCATTCTGCAAAGGATAGTTGGAAAAGTTCACTCTGAAAAAGACGGAAAACTATCCTGTTTAAAAAACAAGAACCACCCATACACAGCATCTCGAACGGCATTGCTGACGCCTCCAAGCTGAACGCCAAACTCCCGGCAGGTCCCCGGAGTCCAACGAGCCCGTCCTGAGAACGGCGCCCGTCTGAGCAGGAGCCCCGTTCGTAGCGTCCTTGCTAGTAAGGCACTTGTTTCTACTAGCAAACATTGTTACTACTAGTAAGGCACTTGTTACTAGAAGCGATGCACTTGTTACTAGAAGCGATGCACTTGTTACTAGTAGCTTCTTGTTACTAGTAAGGCACTTGTTCCTAGTAGCGTGGCACTTGTTCCTAGTAGCGTCCTTGCTCCTAGTAAGGCCAGGAGCAAACAGGACCTAAACCTTAAACCCTGCAACCTAAGAGCGATGGCCTCCAACCTACTAGTGATGGCCTTCATCTCTGGCTCCTGTAAGAAAGGCCAGGCTTGTGGCGGCTGAAGAGCGGCAGCATCCTGAGAAGTGGCAGAGACACTGGACCTTTCGATGTGGAGTCGAAAAGATACAGCAATTTCGACCATAGAACCCCTCCGGTGTTCAGTCCTTGCGATCGTTACAGTCCTCCAGGAGGCAAATCTCCTGGAGTAACGTGATACGGATGAAACAACGAAGTTCACATCTGAGGCATCTGTCCTGGAAGGTTGTGGTACAAGAAAAGGCCTGGCATATAAAACTCAGGATTGTGTGCAAATGCCTCTGCATTGGGCTGCAAATCTATTGCACTTTCTTTCTGTCAACTTTTAATAGGCCAGGATGACATGAGTTGCTTCGTGGCACAACGGCGCCAAAATCACAGAGACCAACAGCTCTTCATCCAACTGGAACTTAGCCGAACAGTGAGGCAAGTGAGACGAGACTTTCCTGGTCGAGTCTTGGAAAGGCGTTCTTGTTGTGTAAGGGCAGTGACTTCCAAGCTGGCCTTTTCATAGCATGGGATAGATATCCGAAAAGAAACACCAGAAAAAAGACCCTTTGGCTCGCAGCTTTTAGGTTGGAGGCCATCGCTAGTAGGTTGGAGCCAAAAAAACCTTTGGCATCCTTTGGCTCTGAGCAAGTGTGCTCTCTTCAAGAGCCCTTTCAAGCCGACGAACCGCAACTTCTCTCAGGGGCACACCATTTTGTAGTACGCCGTCAAAAGCTCATTCAGCCTGAAACACAAAGCAAAAACATCGTCTTAAAGATCTTCGATGCTTTAAGAGAAGGAAACGCAACTGTGCACCACCTTGGAAGCTGTTCTTGAAACTCCAACCTGCAGGTCTTGAACATCTAAACCAGACTGCAACGGTTTTTCAATGTTGTTCATGTCTTTGTCTGTCTCAAACACAGCCAGTTCGCCTGCTGCTGAAAACTGCATCTGAATCCTCACTGTACCTGCGCTATTTTTCGTGTTCAAGTCGGTGAGAAAACCTGGGCCGGTCACAAGAGCAGAGGCTTCTCCAGGTCGGCCTGCACACAGCGTGTATTTGCAACTCTCTGCAAGGGCCCAAGGGCTTCCTTTGTCAGTTTCTGCCCAAGTTTGCTTTGACACTCTTTTTCTGCCGCGGTGACAAGCAAAGGCGCCTGCAAGTGAATCAGTAGACAAGCCTTTGAGTAAACAATCTTTCGTTTGACAAACAACGAACGCCTCTGCTTGAGACTCATTCATGACGGCCCAAACAATCTCGGCAAGAGAGACGCTTTTCCTCCCGAAACGGGTTCATCGTTTTCACTGCTGAGCTGTTGAGCAACTGCCAAATCGAAGCCTCAAAGCCTCGTCTTCTCTGCACCAGCTACATTGCCAATGGTGAACTGCAAAAGTGCCTTACCAGAGCAAAGCCTTATGCTAATGAGCTGATAAGGTCGATATCACCTTGTCTCAACTTTTAAACAATCTAACTCACGAGCTTCCAGTTGGGTTCAGCTGCGATTGCTATGAAGAGCCGTTGGTCGATCCAAAGCTCGCGACAGGCTCCTCACAACGGCATGTGGCCTGTTTGGACCAACGAGCCGTTTTGCTGAATGGCCTAATGGGCCTAAAGTCCGAGAGGTACAAATGTCATTAATTCTAATAGCAAACATTGTTACTACTAGTAAGGCACTTGTTACTAGAAGCGATGCACTTGTTCCTAGTAGCTGATTGTTTCTACAAATGTCATGACCTATGTACAAAATGTGAGAAATGAGACATGTCTTTGTAGCTGGGGCTTTGTGCATGCAACTGTGATGTATCCTTTAAAAGGTGCTCACTTGTTTCAGGTTCACTAGGGTTTCTATGTTCATCATATTCAGCAAACTCGTGCTTAGAAAATTACAATTGTCCTGCAGGCATCAGTTACCATGCGCTCTTTCTCCTGCATCAGTAAGCCAAGACATCAAACGGACAAGTTCAACTGATCCCTCAAGGCGCTTGGTCCTTGCTCGTTGACCCCCAGCTCCAGCCTCATCTGCGGTGACTGCGTGCCGTTGATCAGAGTCAAAACTTTATTGCGCGTGTTTGACAGTTGACCTTCACACTGTCGTACCGTGTCTGGTTCAACATGTTTGACCTCATAACGTTTTTTGACAAAGCGTCGACTGTAACGGTCCCGCGGTCGGCATTCTTTGACCTTGCAATTCAGCTACAATTCACAAATTGTCAAGCTCTCCTTAGGTGCTCGAAAGCTCTCCTTTTTAATGCTTTGATTCAAAGTTTTACTCAAGTGAATTTCGCTGCAAGCTGAGTTATAGGCCATGTTACCCGCGTTCCAAAGCGCAATGTTGGGAGAAAAGTAGTCGTAGCGAAGTCTCAGAACCTCTGCTGGAAGGCAATTTTGATGTCGCAGCTGGAAGCTTTCGAAAGCGTTCTTCTTTTCGATTTTCTTTCCTTCTCTCTCATTTGTCCTCTCCTCTCTCTCTCTCTCTCGTCTTTCTTCTTCCCCTCTTGCTTTAGACCTTTAGAAATTTTAGACTCTCAACGTGTCTTTGTCCTTCTTCCTTCTTCCTGTCTATTTCTAAGTGGTCAGAAGCTCTCATGTGAGGCCCCAACGCACCCGCTCTTGTGACATGCTGGATTCCGCCTTCATGTGCCGGTTTTGCAAATAGAAAACACACCACTCACTCAGTGAGCCGGTCAGCATTGCATGGCGTTCCTCAAGTGCTCCCAGCTCACTCGATCAACGATCCGTGGACCGGTGCATTGCACTGGGTCTTCTCCGCCTCAGATCGAGTGTACCGGGAGTTAAGTTTCCATTAAACATCTAGGAACCAAATGAATGGTGCGAGGGCTTAGTCTTCCTCTATAGCTTCCTATAGGTCCTAGAGGTTTATCTAGGTCTACCTACTTTACCTTACAAAAAAGGCTCTTCTTGCATTCAGCATGGGCCCTCTGAGCCCCATGCACCAAGATCTGCTGAAGATCTCTTGAAGAACTTCCTACACGTCTTTCGGATAACAAAGACAGACGACAGTCTGACAGATCGATCTCTCCTCCCAGAAAGGATGTCCAGCTGCTCCTATCATCACGGCATTGCTGACCTGGTCACAGTCTGCCCTTTACGCATTCAGAGCTGCCCTGGTTGCAGGTGAGATGCCAATGGTTCTGCCTTGTGCTCCTGGAGAGCGGTGTTGACAAGAATCAGCACCAATGAGTGCGACAAGTCAGAAGCTCAGAGCTTAGAAGCAGTAGTAAAATGCATCAAGCTCGCAACTTAGTCGATCCAATTGGTGCAAGGTGTCTTGCTGCGTCGCACAAAAAGGATACGATATCAGCATTGGTCCCAAGCAGTTTCAGCGCGATGTTGTGCATTTGTGCCTTGAATTGACATGTTGGTGGAAACGTCTGTAGTTGTATAACTTAACTGTATTACTGTAGCCTGTAGCTGTTTGGGAACACGCCGAGAAAACAGTGCCTAGGGCCCTTTCTGTTCCAAAGAGAGAACCGCAGTAAACTGCCTTCTCAAGCCCAACGACAGGCCCATGGCCTAACCGAGGTGAGACACCATCCGAAGGAACTACATCGAACGAGGCAATTGGCACGCATGTCAGGGTATTTCTTCGAAAACCCAGGTGTCAACACAAGAAGCCCCTAGTAGCGTCCTTGCTACTAGTAGTAAGGCCAGGAGCCCCTAGTAGCGTCCTCGCTACTAGTAGTAAGGCCAGGAGCCCCTAGTAGCGTCCTTGACACTAGTAGTAAGGCCAGGAGCCCCTAGTAGCGTCCTTGCTACTAGT